CCCTCCTGGCCTGGGGGCGGGCCCTCCTGGCCTGGGGGCGGGGCCAGGGGCTGAGACCCGGCTACCATACCTGTCCAGGCCAGGCCAACGCCTGCGTGAGCACAGACGCTGGAAGTCCACTCCCAGTCCCCTCGCCCCTGCTGCCTGTCCAGACGCAGGAGCGGGCAGCCCTGTTCACGCCCTCCCCCACCCCACACACGCTGTAGCGCGCTGTAGGATTTTCCGGACCCCGCCAGCCGCTGCCGTCCTGGCCCAGGTCGCACCCAGGGCTCTGCACCCCCGCCCTTCTGAGCCTCAGCGCAGCCCCTCACCCCCCCAGGCCGGACTGACCCCAGGCCTGGAAGGTCACTTCCGACCCTGCACGGCTCAGGCCTCCCTGCAGCTGGCGCGCTCCGGCCCTCTGAGCCTTCCCTGCCCCTCCCGGGCCGCCTTCGCAGAGCCGGCGTCTGAACGCAGTGGAGACACGCTCAGGTCGGCTCTGTCAGGAGCGGAACTGCGCCCCCCCCCCAATTATGTTCACTGCTGAACCCCTAGGGCCTGTGAAGGTGAACTTGGAAGTAGGGTCTTTGCTGTTAGTCGCTGTTAGACCTCATCTGATCACCGGAGACCTGAGGAAGGGGAGTGGGCTCACAGGCTCAGGGGGAGGGCGCAGCCGCCTGGCGCAGGCAGCGGCCTGGGCTGCGCCACAGCCTAAGGGCATGTGGGCCACCGGAGAGGGAAGGGGGCCCTCCCCCGCCCGTCCTGTCCACAGGCCGCCTGCTGCGGCCCCCTGGTCAGTGGTGCCTTGCGCTGCAGCCCCAGGACCAAGCAGCGGGGAGGGGACGTGAGACCCTAGTGTGAGCCCCAGAGGGCGGAGCGTCAAGCCAGTGCCTCCAAGGCCAGTGCCGGGCGTGTGCTGGGCGATTCCACCCCCCTGGCCCGCCCGCAGCACTCCAGCCTCTCCGCCATGCTTCCATGACCAAAAAAAAAATATTTTTTTACTTTTTCCATGTTTTTTTTTTAAAGTAATTACAGAGCAGGTAGTCGTTGACGCAAACCTCCCTTCAGTATCAAAAGAGTCTGTGGGGGTAGGTGAGGGCTGGGACGAAGGTGGGGTGGGCAGAGGTGCCCCCACCCCCAGCAACGGGGCGGGGCCAGAGGGGAGCTCCGCGCCGGGAGGGGCCGGGGCTGGGGGGCTCCGACGTGTCCGGCGCTTCAGTTTCCGGGACTGGGGGTGGGGAGGGAGGGCAGGCGCCAAACTGCAAAAAATGAACCGTAAAACGAGGGTCGTAGGGGGTGAGGGGAAAGGATGCCCCTCAAAAAAGCTCCCGTCTCCGTCTCCCCTGACAGCCGGGGGCTGGGAGTGGTCGTCGGGGGAGGAGGAGGAAACGCGGAGGGTTCTGGCCACTTCTCCTGAATCCCGTGCCCCTCGTGTCCCGGGGTTTGCGGGGCCGAGGCGGGCCCACCCGGGGGGCCCGTGGCCGAGCCTACCCTGTCCGGGCCGGGGTGCCCTGGGGCCCCGCAGTGGCTGGGACTGGGAGCCGCCTACCCCGCCTTCCGGCCCGGCGGGTCCAAAAAGGGGCAGGGGCGGCGGGGCGGCCCCCCAGCCTGGCCCGGGGCGCCGAGAGACCCGCGCCCGGGCAGCTTCAGATCTGCGTCTCTTGCACGTTCTCCTTGGAGCCGCTCTTGAAGAGCAGAGGTTCGTGGATGGAGTTGAGGCCCGGCGGGCCCTTGCTGCAGCCCCCGCCGCCGGGGTTGCTGCTGTAGTGCGCCTTGAAGGCGGCCGCCACGTAGTGGTGGTGGTTGAGGTGGTCGCGCTCCAGGGCGGGCAGGGCCAGGTGGCTGTCCCCGCCCACGC